CTATCTATCTATCTACCAAACAACCAGTCAGTCTGTCTGTCTGTCTGTCTATCTATCTATCTATCTATCTATCTATCTATCTATCTATCTATCTATCTATCTATCTATCTATCTATCTATCTATCTATCTATCTATCTACCAAACAACCAGTCAGTCTGTCTGTCTGTCTGTCTGTCTGTCTGTCTATCTATCTATCTATCTATCTATCTATCTATCTATCTATCTACCAAACAACCAGTCTGTCTGTCTGTCTATCTATCTATCTATCTATCTATCTATCTATCTATCTATCTATCTATCTATCTATCTATCTATCTATCTATCTATCTATCTATCTATCTATCTATCTATCTATCAAACAACCAGTCTGTCTGTCTGTCTGTCTGTCTGTCTGTCTGTCTGTCTGTCTGTCTGTCTATCTCTCTATCTATCTATCTATCTATCTATCTATCTATCTATCTATCTATCTATCTATCTATCTATCTATCTATCTATCTATCTGAGCCTTCATTATTTATTTATTCGTTAATCTATATTTAGAGTAGGTTATGGAAATCTTGAACTTTTTTTTGTAAATTTGACTGATGTTATTGATTACACAACACAGTATATATATATATATATATATATATATATATATATATATATATATATATATATATATATATATATATATATATATATATATATATATGTATGTATATATATATATATATATATATATATATATATATATATATATATATATATATATATATATATATATATATATATATATATATATATATATATATATATATATATATATATATATATATATATATATATATATATATATATATATATATATATATATATATATATATATATATATATATATATATATATATATATATATATATTTTGCATGGGAGGGCGAAAATTTTTGCTTCATTTTTACTTTATTTTAAGCAGTTACTCTTAATCATTCTGAACTAAGCTAAACTGAATACCACATTTGTTTTTCTAAATGTTTTTCGCCATTAATGTCCAAGTGTTTTTTCTTTGGCAGTGAACCGAGCAAACGTACAATAGATTTTAGAGTTAATGTACTTGATAAAAAGCACTGGTACACATGGTCATGCTGCACAACTTAATATTGGGCCTGCTACAGCCATGGACGACTGCAAAGTCCCTGTATGAGAGTGTAGTTGCTAGCCATATCAGCCTAGAAAATGTTCAATGTCTATAAATGCACGCTGTAAAAAAAAAATCTTGCTGACTTTTTGAGTCATTTCAACTTGCAACAATCAAACTTACTAAACATATGAAGTTATACTTTGTATAACTTAAAAGTAGTTGAAACCTGATTAACTCATTAAAATAAGTTAAAGCAACATAAAAATATCTGTTGACTTTTTGTCATTATATTTTTTGCAGCGCGCTGCATAACATCAGAAGAGTCAAGCTTTAAATAGGAAAAAAAATATCTAAACTTTTTTTTTGTGATGCTAATGGTCTAATCCGATTCAATGATTTATGCTAAGCTATGCTAAAATTCGGAGATCGACTGAAAGGATTAGAAAAAATGTTAACTCTACTGTTTATTTGTAAAATTTGCCCATTTCTAACAAAAAAATAGTGTTAATGTTAATGCATAAAACAATCTCAAACACTTTCCTTAACCAAAGAATTATAATCGATATAAATTTAAGCGAAACAATGTAGCAACTTAAGAAGATAAATTAAAAAACAAGCTGTCCAGTTTTTAATTATTTATTTAACATGACAACTGACATAAATTAAACATTTCATCTAGGATACACACAGAATAAATAGGTTTTTGCATCATTTACAACAAATAAACTGGTTTCTTATAGGTATAGTTTTCCTAATAATAAAATTTGCCTCTTCGGTTATTCTCCGTCATGTGGTTTTACACCTTTTAGGAGGTTCCATCTTCTGTTAAGCACAAAATAAGAGATATTTTAAACTAGTATTTCCTACTATGGAAGTTATTTTGTGCCAGGAGTTTTCAAAATATCTTATTTTGTGCTCAACAGAAGAAAATCTCATAGGTTTGAACAAATAAACGATGACAATTTTTATTTTTGGGGGGAACTATCCCAATGCATCTTGTAAACCTAGCGTTGGCATGTTGTTGGCTTGCACGTAAACATCAGGTTTATTTCAGGAAGCTGATTCTTTTGTGAGTTCTCAGCGTATTGGTGTGCATGTAAAAAAACATACTCATTGTGTCTTTCTGTCAGATCCGCTCACTGGATGCTCACTTGTACCCTGAAAAGCTAAAGGTGATTGCACAGCAGGTCCAGGAACAGCATGTGCAGACACAAACCCTGCTCCGTCTTCAGCAGCAGCAGCAACAGGAACAGCTGGGAAAAGAGTCCAGCACTCCTGCACGCAGCCCGCTGGTCAGACTCGCTCTCATATACATCACTCCTTCACTAACACTCAACCCAGTGCTTTCGCATAACAGACAAGTTTTGCAATGCATCGTGCATGTGTTGATCTGTTGTGATGATCCACTAGAGGGCATTAGTAGAGTTTAAAGATCTATTCATTTGCTGATTCATTTTTATACTCTGAGTCTGAGCACTTTCAGGGATGTTTCTTAAAAAAAAGTATCAGCAGGAAGAATTTTAAGTTAATTATCAAAAATTAAATGGAGAAATCTTTAATGCTAATTTGAGTTTTATTTTGCATCAAATCAGAAGTTATTAAAGTTTACACTGTAGAACACGCTGGGTTGTCCCAACACAAACCGATTTAAGGGCACCTGTTATGCAAAAATCACTTTTATAAGGGGTTTAAACACAGTTTTGTGATGACAGACTGTGAACATAACCAGCTTTGAATGGTAAAATTATACACATTTTACTTTTTTATAATCACTCTTGATTAAAAACAGTCTGCAGAAGCACTTTGATTGACATTCTCCCTTTGTACGTGTCATCAGAGGGGGAAAGCCCCGCCCATTAGTGACGATCTATCCCTCATTAGCATTTTTGAATCTGCCACTATGCTGACACAGGCATTTGTAGCTCCGCCCTCTTTTCAAAAGAGCACAATCTCATTTGAATTTAAAGCGACAGTCACCAAAATGGCACAGTTAGGATCAAACTTGAATAGGGTCAGTTTAAAAAAAATTATAAACATTTGTGTGGTATTTTGAGGGGGGAAAAAAGCATACACACATTAGGCACATCACAGACTTATTTTACGTCTTTTAAGAAGGGGCATAATAGGTCTCCTTTAAGTTGACTTGATTATTTTTGCAAATTTAGTCGAATTGAACATAAAACCTAATGGATTTAAAATGAAGATAAAAAAAGAATGTAAATAAACCACATGCTACACACAAGTTGCAAAGTAGACGCATTTAAAATCATTCAAGCAACTTTGTCCAAAGAACTAAAAAGAATCATCGTAAAATAATAGGAGTGTGCTATAAATCAGTGTTTCTCAACTGGTGGGTCGTGACCCAAAAGTGGGTCGCGGGAAAATTTTCAGTGGGATGACCAATTGTGTGGTCAAAAAAAGCAAAAGTTTTATTGTAAACTTATTTTGACTTTTATTATGAAATGCGTGCACGACAACCGTACTGTTTGACATGTGAAATTTCATTTAATTAAAGCAACAAATATGTCGAAGCACAAGTATGACCCTGAATAAGTAAAGTATAGATTTACATATTTGACAAGAAAAAAAAGACTTAAAGCCTCAGTGTGTCATAGGTAGTGAGGTGCTCTCACAAGTGAGCATGAAAGCTCCTAAATTAAAGCAACATAGAACCTGACAACATGTTTTATTAACAGTTCAGTTTTAGTTAATGGTAACTGAACATTTCCTTACCCTAACCACTGTTTACAGTATTTTTTGTTTTTACTTTGTAATATTTCTATAATTTGATACAATTCGTTAAATGACAGCAATAAAATATAGTTTATTTGTAATTGTTGGTGATTTTCTTATGATTTATCAGTCACTACTTGTGTATGGAAACCAAATAAATACAAATGAATTATAATTCTAAAAATTTTATTTTAGTTCCTAAAAATTTGGGTTGCGGCTTGATGACCATGTAAAAATGTGGGTCCCATGGCCAAACCAGTTGAGAACCCCTGCTATAAATGATCTATATATCCATAATTAAAACTGACTAAGGCTGCATTTTCACTGCAGATCTTGATGGTCAATTCCAATTTTGTGACTGTATCAGATTTTTTTTGATGACCTGCTTACATCGTCTTTTAAAAGTGACTCGTATCTGATTATCTGCATTTACACTGCACATAGCAAAGACGCAATGAGCGGGCAAAAAACGAGCGGGCGCTGACTGACAGCTGATAATTAAAGAGCGCTCTTTTCTCCATTCCCGTATTTAATTTGTTCACTGGCTTTAATTTATTGACAAATTGTTGTTTTACTATAGTTTATGACAGAAAAGTTCTCATTTGGCCATCTTCTTTTAGTCTTGGACATTTTAAACCAATAGGCATCTTATGTTCCGCTCTCTTCTCTCTCTCTCTCTCTCTCTCTCTCTCTCTCTCTCTCTCTCTCTCTCTCTCTCTCTCTCTCTCTCTCTCTCTCTCTCTCTGTGTTTCTTGTTAACATGCTTAAATAGATTTTATATTGTCATATAGCACAGGTATTTAAGTCCTCGTGTATGAGATTTAAGGTTTGTGACTACTGAAGTCTGTTCTAGAAATGAAAGCATCAGACTTGACGTCATTCGCTACAGTTTTTAATGACGCGCGACTCGCATTGACAGGTGAAAATCCGATCTACCTGCTTAAGCCTGATTTATACTTCTGTGTCAAGTGACCGGCGTAACCCATGGCGCAGGCAACGCGTGTGGCTGTGCATTTATACTTCTGCGCGCTGTCTCTGTTGGTCTGCATTAACACTTCCGAAACTCTAGTTGGCAGTGAGGTGTAAATGTTCGTCTGTGTCGAGTTTCTTCGCTGCTTTTTTGCTTTTCCTGAACACTTCCGGGATGTACAAGTGGCTCAAACTCGCTCATTTTGAGGCAGGAACCGGCGGACGTGCAGCAACTTTAACTATGAGGTAAACACAAAACAAAACTTTCCATCTGGAGCTGCTTCACGGGACTCCACACTTGTAAACAATCGCTCCATCGGGCTGGCGCCATTCGCACGGCTCTCTGTCCCGTCCCGACTCGTCAGCGATACCAAGCCGACCAATCACAGAGCTTGTGCTACGCGTTGTTGCGACGTGTAGTTACATATTTTGAGAGGTGCACGTCAGTGACGGCCACGGCAAAGGGCTATGCGTCAGCATACGCCGGTGTTTGACGCAGAAGTATAAATCAGCCTTTACACTGCAGACACGAGAACACTGATCCAATTTATATCAAATAAATTTCCATAAATGAACAAGGCCTGAATCCGATTTGAGTAAATCGGAATCCATTCGATTTTTTTTCCTGCTTACACATACATGGGCCATATTCGATCTGTGACACATGGGAGAAACAAATCGGAATTAAGTCACTTGAACAGTGCAGTGTAAATGCAGGCTAACAGGTACATTATAGGTTTGTGTTTTTATTTTATCCATCTTGAAAATAGCATTATGTTTGGTATGTTAATGTAATGTTATTATCTGAAGAGTATTTGTGTTTTTTTTTATTCAGCCTCATGTCTGAAATATTGCTGCAGAAGGACAGGTTTTGAACTTTTGGGGTTATTTATAGTCTGCTGAAAGTCATTTGTTAATTCTAGTAAGGTTCCTTTTTGATGGCATGGTGGCTCAGTGGTTTGCACTGTCACCTCACAGCAAGAAAGTTGCTGGTTTAAGTCCTGACTGGGCCAGTTGGCATTTTTGTGTGGAGTTTGCATGTTCTCCACGTGTTGGCATGGGTTTCTTATGTATATTTTGTGTTATCACTTGTTACTCTAAGTACACTAGATGCTTCAATAGCCAAAACAAATTCCTTGTGTGTGTAAAGCACACTTACTTGGCAATAAACCGATTCTAATTCCTCCAGGTGCTCCAGTTTCTCCACAGTCCAAAGACATGCTCTATAGGAGAATTGAATAAACTCAACTGTCTGTAGTGTATGAGTGTGTTTGTGAATGTAAAAGTGTATGGGCGTTTCCTAGTACTGGGTTGCAGCTGGAAGGGCATCTGCTGCGTAAAACATGCTGTATCATTCCGCTGTGGAATAGTTGGCGGTTAATTCTGCTGTGGCGACCTCCTGAAATAGAGACTAGGCTAAAGGAAAATTAATGAAAGTTTCTTTTTTAGTATTGAATGCTTGAACTGTGGGGAGAATAATGACACCTTACTGTACCCAGTTTTATAAATCACTTCAATGATTGATTATCAGAGATTTCTCCCATAATTTACGCATAATATGCGCAGTGCTCAAATAATTATGCAGAGTGATACTTTATTTTAATCATTAAATCATTTGAGTGTTTTTGTCATCTTTTGTGAAATGTATTTATGCGTGTAGTGAAGATGTTGTAGAAATTGACTGTTAAATTTTAATCATATTTGGGGTCATTTTGTTGTTAAATGAATACTTTTATTCAAATTAAATTGACAAAAACTAGCAGTAAACAGCTAAATAAAGGGATTTCTGTTTTAAGTGCATGTTGTTAAACTTGTCCAAGGATAATTTGAAAGGATCCATTAAGGTTTGCACAAAAATATGAAGAATTATGATGTTTTCCAACATTAAGAAATGTTGAGCATCAAAATCTCAATAAAAATATTTCTGAAGCATCGCATAACTCTTGGATCATCTCAGAAATGAAATTAGATAATTTTACAATGGAAACTATTTGGATTTTAATATGTTAACATGTAGAATTTGTCATATTAATGTTAAAAGTCTGATGTAAAGAATATTTGTTTGTGTATTTGTATTTTATTTGTTTATACTTGTATTATTTTGAGTTGTTAATGCTAAGAAGCTGACATTAATAAAATAATTATAAGATATTCTCAATATTACTGTAATTTAGACCATTTTTTTTTTTTGGATTCTTTATCTTTTTTTTTATTTTATTTTTGTCTTTTTTTAATCTTCTATGAGCACTTGTTAATAATGTTTTCCAGCCCTGTTCTTGAAGGCACACCCAACAGTACACCAACCTTTCTCTAATCAAACACACCTTAATCAACTCATCAGAACATTAGATTACTCCAAAACCTAAAACAAATGGGTCAGATAAGGGAGACATCCAAAATATGTACTTTTGGTGTGCCTCAAGGAACAGGGTTGGGAAGCACTGCTTTATGGTAGTCAGAATAAGAGCATATATAAAGGGAATGCATGCATGATGTTTTGATTGGCTGTTGGTAACCATCCTCGTGTGTTGTGTTTTCTCCTTAGGTGTTTTCTCCTGCCACGCCGCCTGCGCCCACTCAACACGCCACAGTAATTGTTCCTGCCCCAGCGCCGCCTCCGCCACCCCATCATGTCACCGTGGTAACCATGTGCCCCGCCTCCGTGATCAACACAGCATCCACATCACGACAGAACTTGGACACCATTGTGCAGGTACAACACACGTCTGCACCGCTCCAGGACAGTGGTGGAAAGAGCACAGAAGAATCATACTCTAGTAAATGTACCATCATCTGCCCAAAAATGTAGCGAGTAAGAGTATCTGTTGTAAAATATTACTCAAAGTATGAGTAAAAAGTAGTGTAAACGTGATATTCTGTAGTGCATTTAGTAATTGTTTAGAGCCGTTCTGTGATTTCAGTCCTCATACAGTAAACATCTGCCATCTTCTCATCAGTCTACAGAAGAGTCAAACTTTAAATCGGAAAATGATCAAAACTCTGGTCATTGAGTGAAATGCTAACGGTCCAATCCGTTTCAATGATTTATGCTACGCTAAAAGTGCTCCCAACAATCGCAGAGATTCGATTTAACTCTAAGAGAGTTATAAAATGAGCCCATTTGCATAAAAAGTTTTCTTTTAAATGGTAATAATATCTCAATAACATCACCAGTGAACATATATGACTCATCAATTTATTTATCATGACTGACAGCTAGGGCAATTGGAAAAATCTGACATTACAATATTTTGTTTTGCTGCGATTTATATGTAGCGGTATGAATATAGCTACATGAGATGATTTGAATAGCTCGATTTGGAAAGATTTCATAAACTTAGATGGACTGAGATAAACAAATTGTTGTCTATCCAGTGCATTTGCATAAAATATATTAAATTAAAAGCGTATTTAAACGCGACAGAGCAAAAATAAACAGTGCTATATAGCTTTATGTGCTGTCTAACAGTATTCAAGTGCAGAAAATGAACAATCAAATGTAAAATAACATGGTCATCCTTTTATGAATACTTTTTTTTTTATAATATCTTTACCATTTAATTTTTAATATATAATCTAATCCTACGATGTGACTATTGCAGATACACAGACATTGTATCTACAGATTCAAGATTTAAATGGAAAAATCATCCAAATTCTTTGGTCATTCGAGTGAGATGCTAATGCTAAGCAAAAAGTGCTTCCAACAGTCCCAGAGATTGACTTAATGGACTAAAAAATTGTAAAACTCAACTATTCAACTCTCAAAGAATTGTAAAATGAGCCCATTTGCATAGAAAATGGAGTGTCCCCTTTAAATGACAATAATATCACTTTTATTACAGGAAAATTATCAAAGCTCATTGAGTCAGATGCTAAAAGTCTAATCCAATTCAATGATTTATGCTAAGCTAAGCTAAAAGTGCTCACGACAAACCCAGAAATTGGTTGAAAGAATTCAGAAATGCTAAAGGTCAATGGTTTAACTCTAGGAGAGTTGTAAAATGAGTCTGTTTGCATGACAAGCGGAGTGTTCCTTTAAAATAAATGACAATAATTTCACTTATCACAATTTTTATCATGACTGACAGCTGCTTGGTTTGTTTTTGCAGGCTATTCAGCACATCGAAGGCACGCAGGACAGGCTGGCGGTGCCCGAGGAGGAAAAGCGTCGTGCGGTCATCGTCACCCCGGGACGAGTCCTGACAGACACCGGCGACTCCGATACCGCCTCCGACAACGAAGGATCTGAGGACTGTTAACTGCCCGGCTCGCCTCCGCCCTCTTATCCGCCCTCCATGTGTGTACCAGGGGGTGCGCAGCAGGGCGGCGGGGTCCGTAGGGAAGGGTCTCCTGCAGAAATACTCTCTCTCTCTCTTTCTCTCTCCTCCTGTCTTCTTCACACTCGCATACGGGACTCACAGACTCAATGACTTGAAGGTTTCTTGGGGGGATAAAAAAAATGTTTAAAAAAGAAAACATTGAGGGGATTAAATAAAAGGAAATGTTACAGGAAATGTGCCGCAGACAGAACGAGCACGCTTATGTATACTCACACCGTACTCCATAGCACTCTGGTCACTTGTTAATACATTCATATTACACAGCTCTCATTCATACTCATCTGTTAAAATTGTGTTCAGTTTCGCCAACACACGCTCCTAGGTAGGCGATTTTTGTGAGGGGAATCACGAAAAATCGCTGTCTGAATCTGCTATGGGCCTTTAAGGCCTTTCACTTCCTGTTTTCACTTCCTGCCCATAAGAGGGCATTAGAGTGTTCTGATTGGAGGATTCCCATTCCTGTTCCTTGCGCTACAAGACGTCTCATCTCTCTCAAAAACAACCCCTTTGCCCCGGGCTCTCTCACTCTCTCTCCGCTTCCCCGCCCCGTCATATTTCTCTTTCTGTTCTGGGGAGGCTTGAAGCATCACTGTGAGCCAATGAGACTTCAGAAACCTGTTCCACACCACGGCTTCCGGATACTTTAGAGGAAATGTTACCTTTTTGTTTTTCACTTTTTTTCGTTTGCAGACATGCTCCCATTTGCCGACAGGCGCCGATAGCTGGATAAAGACCGCCGTTGCTTAATGGGGCTTTGTGTCATGCACACTTTGTAAATAACGCAAAGAGAGACGAGGGGGAACTTAGTGCACTTATTGTCGCTCGCCTTTACTGGGCTGGGTTCCCAGTACGCACACTTGTGCAAGGTGAAGCACTCCCTCCGTCACCATAAACGCCCCCCCAGTCCTGTCCTAAAAAAAATTCTGGCTGATTTTTTTTCTCATGTTCTTTGTGTGTAAAATGGAATAAGCTAAATGGCAGGTACGTCTACCTGCAAGTAAATTTGTATTTTTTTTTTTTTTGTTAGCACACTTGCTAATAGAAGCGTAAAGTTCTGTTCTTTGTAAAGAAAGTGTGGAAATAGCACTACCAGGGTTGTCAAGGCCCGATTTAAGCCTATGCAGCTCTTTTGGTTCTCGCCCCCTGCAGAATGAACTTTGCGACCCTTCTCCCAAAAATGTTGTCTTGTCCGTTTTGTCCTGTCAAGCGCACATTTGTGGCGTTTCGTGATGTTTACGGTTGCACCAAGGAGTGGCTGGCCTATAATCTCGCGCTCTATGCACTCGCTGGTCCACTCCGCTCATTTTGAATGTTTTGTTTTGTCTGTAATTTTCGACGTACGACTTGTACATTCGTACACCCTGCAGATAATCACACGGATGGCGATGTGGTGCTACTCCTGCTTGGGCTTGCCGGAAAAAAGCTAGAGATGTCCAGTCCTATAGGTGCACAGTCCTGCAGAGCTTAACTCCAACTATAAACACCCGAGCAAAGGTAATCAATTGATGCTAAATAATGCAGGAGTTGCTCCTTTGGGATTTTTAAAGCAATCGTTCACCCCAAAACTGAAAATTGTGGTGTTTATTCACTAGTTTCTTTCTTCCGTTGAGCACAAAAGATATTCTGAAGACTTCCTGAAACTGGTAGCTACTGACGAACAAATTTGTTTCTCCTACCATGAATGTTAACGCTTACAAGTTTTCAGCTTTTTCTTCAGGATATCTGTTATTGTGCTTGATGGAGAGTAAATAGCTGTGTCGTCACGATACTGCAATTTTAAAATAAAAATTTTAAAGCAACAATAATTGTTTGAAAGCCGCGTAGATCAGTCGATCCATCAGCAGATCACTTGTATGTCAGCTCATAGACGTACCAGGCTTTAAAACAATCCATTTCCAGCTAACATTTGTGTGCATTCTTAAACAGCTAAAGTGCAAACGCACCGCTAATTGTTTGAAAGCAGCGTAGATCAGTCGATCCATCAGCAGATCGCTCATATGTCAGCTCATCGACTGACTAGCTAATCTTCATACCTTCTCTGTTTCTGTGTGTGCACTCTGTGAACAGCGGTGAACGTCACAGCCAATTACAGTCCTTTCTGTTGAGCATGTGAACACAATGGCCAATCATTTGTGTTTAGTAATGCAGTTAAATGTTAGCTGAAAATTGACATTTCTTTAAAATTTCAGTACTGCTTGGTATCGAAATGCCAGTATTGTGAGTCGTGACGTTTTGGGTGAACAATGCCTTTAAGACAAAAATCTCAAACCCAATTCCTTGAGAGCCAAGCTCCGCACAGTTTTGCTCCAACCCTAATTAAACACTTGTTAAATCTAGTAGTCTCGAACACCTTGATTAATTGGATCAGCTGTGTTTGATTAGGGTTGGAGGAAAAACTGCAGAGCTGCGGCCCTCCAGCAATTGAGATCGAGACTGTGCTCTGTTTCTCAACCACATTCCTGGAGGACCACCGGCTCTGCACATTTTCCATGTCTCCTTAACCAAACACCCCTGATTCAGATCAGCAGCTCATTAGCAGAGACTAAAAGACCTGTAATGGGTGTGACTGACAAAGGTGACATCCGAAACCTGCAGTGCTGGCGGTGCTCCATCAACGAGGTTGAGAAACACTGCTCTAAGACACCTCTTGGATAAGCCATGCGAAACTGTGAGCTCCTCATACCCCTGGTGGGATTGAGAGACGGAGCGTGTATATATCCCGTGCCAGTGGCTTGCCTTAACACAGCTTCGATGTGCGCAGTGAGGCACAGAGGCCTGCCTTAAACTAGCCCTGAAGGTGGCGCTAGAGAGCGAGGCCGGACGGCAGCGGTAAGGCATGGTGCATCACAGTCATCGTCATCTCCAGTCGCATCTCCAAACATTCCAGAAAAGTCTGTTGTTGTTGTTTTGTGTTGCCGGTCATGCAGCCGGCACGATTTGGCCATAGTCGAAAGTGTCTTGTTTTTATTCGCATTAGGCTGAAATCTTCGAGAGCGTGCATGTCCCTAATCAATTTCCAAATTATTACAGGGAATCTTTTTGCTGCTGGACAGATTGTGTGTTGTTGTTTTTTCCCTTCTGGATTTATCAGGTGCTGTCAGCACGCTGGCTCTGTGGATTTTGTCATTTGTATTTGGCTTTCAGAAGAACGTTCAAGTCTAATATTGGTCGTTTTTTCCGTTTTGTTTGTTCATTGCGCTTTTCTATTCGGATAATGGTTTGCTTGGGTCATAGAAACGAGTGTCTCGTTTGTTTTCCATGTTCGGTCTGTAAAAACGGTTTGCGAGAAAAAAGGTTTTTTGGTCCTCCCGTTTGAACATTTCCTCTACAGAAGCCACAGGGTGTGTATTTTTTTTGTGTATTTTCTACTCCCAGAAGAAATCACTGTAAGAAATCCTGAGGACATATCAGAGGTTGGGTTGTGTGTCGAGGGGGAATGGCGGACGATTTTATGAACCTGAAGCACTTACTGTAGTACAACGAGGAGCCACTCTTGTTTTCGTAGAGATGCTCTCCTCGACCGAAGCTCTTCTCGCTGTGATTTTTGAACCACACGGCTGTGTTTAACCCTCAGCGTTTTGTCCTGGCGCACACACACACAAACACACACACACACACACACCACACGTCCTCTGGCCGTCTCTGCAGTCTCCAGACTTTGTCCTGTCTCTCATCTTCTCCCTCTCTTATCGTCTGTCATCTCTTGATTTTTGTTTCGTTTCTGTTTTTGTCTTTTTTTTTTCTTTATGTGGGACAGTCAGTCCAATTGGTTGTTGAGAAACTATTGTATTTTTTTTTAACTGGGGAAAAGAGGCTTGTGCCTTTGTAAAAACAGAATAATAAAGTTTGTACTTTGTTTTTTACAACTTCTTAGAGTATTGTGGTGTTATTTTATTATGACCACCACAGCATCTGCTCAGGATACGGCCTGGTCCAGGATTATGGAGACCATGGTATCATTTCTTCACAGGTCTTGCATCGCATCAATGGCGCTGTATAATCTCTGGGGGCCCTCTGGATGAGTATCCCCAGATGGAATTAAGGGTAAAAAATAATTAGCGTAGCTGCTGTTCAGTGTATTTAAACAAGATGCAAAAATGAAGTGTTGAAAATAGTAGTTATATTCAGCTTATTCTCCGAGTACAAGTGAGCGCAGCCATTTGAATAATTTTGGCTCTAGACTTCCAGTATCATTCACTTCCATCCTTTTTTAGACAAAAAAAATTGCTCGTTTTGCTGCTTGGTTTTGCAAACTGATATTTTATTATTATTTTATACTTTCTCTGTATAGTCATGCAAACACTTGTTTGTGGAGTGAGTAGTTTGACCGTTTTCAGACGTTTATGGTTGCGATTCAGTCGTCTATGGGAGAAATGACTAGGAAGTTCTAAAACAATCGCAAAAACGAGCGCACTTTCCCCATTGAAAAATAAGGTCAATAAGCAAACATAGAAACAAACAAGTAAAGCAGGGGTCACCAATCTCGGTCCTGGAGGGCCGGTGTCCCTGCAGGATTTAGCTCCAACTTGCCTCAACACACCTGCCTGGATGTTTCAAGTATACCAAGTAAGACCTTGATTGGCTTGTTCAGGTGTGTTTGATTAGGGTTGGAGCTAAAATCTCCAGGACACCGGCCCTCCAGGAACAAGTTTGGTGACCACTGATGTAAAGCATATGCAGGGTATCAGCGGGGTGTTAAAATGTCTTAAATTACAAAAACACTAATTTTAGGCCTTAAAAGTTCTTAGATTTACTGAAATATTGTGTTGTAGGTCTTAAGTAATTATAAACCGGTCTGAATTTTCCCATGTAAAGCTATACCCAATTGGGCCAACACCCATCCACTCACTATCAACATATTTCAATAAAGGTTTAAATGGAACATTTATTAACTATATTGACTTATTAATATGGTTTAATTATTTTCCTTACAATAACATTTGTTTTTTTTAAGGTTTTAACTTGGCCATTTAAAAAATCTTTAACATTTAACCTTGTATAAGTCTGAAATTTCATTCATTATGGTCCTAAAAAGGTCTTAAAGTCTTAAATTTGACTAGATAGAACAAGTAGAAACCCTGATATGACTGTTTCTAACAAAATGTTGGGTACATTAGGACAGGAGGAGTGTGTCCTACAGGTGATTTATCCATGTATTCAGCCTGTGTTACACTTAATTTGATCAAATGGCGCACAAAACACAGTCATTAGTGTTAGGAAATTGTGAAGATTTATGCATTATCTGAAAGCTGAATGAAATGCTTTCCTTTTAATGTATGTTACTGGCATATAGAACGCCTAGGGAATGTCTAAAATTGAACGTCAAAGTAGGAAATGATTGCTGCTTTATACATTGCATAGGTCAGAGGTGTCCAAACTCAGTCTTGAAAGGCTGGTTTCCTGCACATTCTAGTTCTAACCCCAATGAAACACACATGAATCAGCTAATCAAGCTCTTTCCAGATGTACTAGAAACTTCCAGGCAGGTGTGATGGAGAAAGTTGGAGCTAAACCATGGCCTAGGCCAGATGTGTCCAAACTCCTGGAGGGCTGATGTCCTGCTGAGTTTAGCTCCAACTTGCTTCACCACACCTGCCAGGATGTTGCTATGATATCTAGTAGGAGCTTGATTGGCTGTTTCAGGTGTGTTTGATTAGGGTTGGAGCTAAACTCTCCAGGACACCGGCCCTTCAGGACCAAGTTTGGACACCCCTGGCCTAGGCGTTCTATAGGATGCCGAGCTGCCGTGTGGCAAAGTATAACTGGCCTACCCCCGCCATTTTTCCCGCCACTAATGTTGACGGTTTGATGATGGCGATCGAACTACGTTATTGTAAGACAGCACATTTAGTTCTAACCCCAAATCAAACACATCTAAACCAACTAATCAAGCTCTTTCCAGGTGTAGTAAAAACTTCCAGGAAGGTGTGTTAAAGAAACTTGGAGCTAAACTAAGAGGGACACCAGCCCTCCAGGACCGAGTTTGGACATCCCTGGCCTAGGCGTTCGATAGGATGCAGAGTTGCCGTGTGGCAAAGTATAACTGACCTACCCCTGCCATTTTACCTGGCACTAATGTTGACGGTTTGATGATGACGATCGAAGTATGTGAGTGTTAAATGCTATTGTAAGACACCACGTTGCCGGTAGGTTCCACTACCACATCACAGACTACATTGTAACAAATACTTTAATCTCAGTTTGCTGTCGTTGTTTTTCCGGTAAGAACATCATATGCTTTATTTTAAGAGTTCACACTTAGCTGACGATTATAAATAAGCTTGTTTGGTATGATGTCTTGGGAGAGAGCCCTGAGCTCCCTAACATTAACAGGATGGGGAGTTTGAGCTCAGGTAGAACTCGATGAACTCTCTTGACTTATTTCTGGCTATTGATAAAAATAGGGATGGCTGAAAAGAGATATACAGCTTACTAATTATTCCAATTTGGTATGTTAAATTTACTTTAGGTTTTTTGAAAATTGAATGGTTTTTGGTATAAAAATCTATATTTTGGCCCATATCATGTATTTTTCGCTATTTCTGAACATCAGGTTTTTTATCCAGGGTTACAAATGTGGTTCAACTTTAACATTTCAGGGGAATATTTTTAAATGTAAGCTCGACGTGTTGCTGTGGCATTTGAAATGCATTTGGGAGCCTCACAAATAGGAAGATGAGCTCAGATTTCCATCGGGTTATTCTTACTGCTGGAGTGTGCCAGACGTGAGCGAAGATCCTTAAACCCCTGGAGCTCGAAGAACATTTTAGGATTCCCTTGATGCTCAAGCTAAATTCTCTCTCTAATCAAGTTTTAAAATGTGATTTTTTTTTTTTTTTGGTGTTGTCTAGGAGCAGCAGTCAGTAATTCTACAAAAGCTTTTCAAATAATATTTGACCTCATTTTGCTTATGAAAACTTATCTCAAGTACTGTCACCAAGCTTTTTTTAACCCTAAAAAATTTTATTCTAATGATGATGCTGATTACAAGAAGGTCACTGGTTCGAGCCTCGGCTGGGTCAGCTGGCATTTCTGTGTGGAGTTTGCATGTTCTCCCCGTGTTGTTGTAGGTTTTCTTTCAGGAAAAGCAACAACGTTTTCTAGTGAGACAACAATGATAATTTTCCTCCCTTAGTTATTTTTAAGTGTACATTTCGCTTACTATGCACGTGGGGCTTTTATTTTGAAAACGCCCGACCGCCAGATTTGTTTACGTGCGCTACTGGGCAACGACAGGACGATGCACGTTTAAACTGGCCTGAAGAGCAAAATGCAAGATTTACAGTTAACACATTTATACATCTCCTCTCTGAAGAGACATAAGGTATGATTAGTTACGTCTTTTGTTGGTTTTGTTAGTTTGAAATTTGAAGAGTGTGTTTCAACAAACGCATGTAAAGTTAGACTGCTGAACTGTGTCAAATCACTCAGCTCAACTGTCACCTGTTCATGCCGAGGTTGACATTAATTCCTTGCTGAGTTTTCTTTGACTATAGCTTCAAAATACAACGCCATGCATCTCCATCACTCTCTTTTGTCAAGTTTAATTATAGTTTAGCCTTTATCCACAACAGATCTGGTGAGCAAAATAGGTTAACTCTGATTGGGTTTATATTACATCATGATGCAGGTTGATATTGTTGATGTTAATTCCTGGCTGTGTTTTTATTTGACCGTAGCTTCAAAATACAACGCCATACACCTCTATCACTCTCTTTTGTCAAGTTTAACTGCAGTTTAGCCTTTATCCACAACAGATGAGTAAAATAGGTTAATGTTATTCTGATCGGAGTTAAATTTGTCTGCGTTCAGTACATCATTCTTTCTGTGTTTGTGTTGTGTGTGTGTGTGTGTGATAGAGGTAAAGTTGGGTTTATATTGGCACATTCAGACGTTCCCCTTAATAATATAACTTCATAAAAGTATTATTTGCAAACTCATTCATTTTCTTGTCGGCTTAGTCCCTTTATTAATCCGGGGTCGCCACAGCGGAATGAACTGCCAACTAATCCAGCACATTTTTACGCAGCGGATGCCCTTCCAGCCACAACCCATCTCTGGGAAACATCCACACAAACACATTCACACACACTCGTACACTACAGACATTTTAGCCTACCCAATTCACCTGTACTGCATGTCTTTGGACTGTGGGGGAAACCGGAGCACCCGGAGGAAACCCACGCGAACGCAGGGAGAACATGCAAACTTCACACAGAAACGCCAACTGAGCCGAGGTTTCATCCAGCGACCTTTTTGCTGTGAGGCGACAGCACTACCTTATTTGCAAACTCTAAATAGCGAAATCATATTAGCAGCCAATGAATACCAAAGTACAACATTGTTCTCAGTCAAATAAACAGTGTTTACAAGTTATATTTGCATGCTAATTCCGATTGAATGTTCAAAGTAACATAGTAAACAATATAGAGACTTCTAAATGAACGAATGTGTGAATATAAAACCAACTTTACCTCTATGTGTGTGTGTACTGCAGAGTAGAGCTCATTAATATTCACAACATGAGCCATATATGGTCAATCATGAACCTTTGATTCCGTGGGTGTTTTATGGAGTAATAAATGAGCTTATAAAACCATTTCTGGAGATTTTTTTTAACTTAGTGATGCCATAAACTTGTTGATATCAGAGAACAAGTTAACATTAAACAAATGCACTGCAGTATTTGGCACCTTTAAAGTTTGACTTCTCTGCAGTTACATTAGTAGCTTACTAAGACTTCTTTTTATTGTGCTTGCCACAGCTATGGTACAGCGGCAATGTGCATTTATTAATATGCTAGAATGAGAGAACAGTTTTTAGCCATATGGACCTAAAAAATAACACATTTTCTTTTTCTGTCTGTCTT